TGTCAAAAAATTTGAAATGTGTTAATTTAAAGACTGTTGTGTCGGTTTGTGTTGATACTATAAACATAAACATATTTACATTACTTTTATTGGCTAAATATTTCTTACGCTAGAAATATCATTTCAATTTTTAATAAGAAATAAAAAGGCTTTTTTATACTTTGAACTTAATTCACACGAGCCAAAATTATTTTGAAATACAGTCAATTTACTCCACTTTGTGAAGGGGTTCCATCGCCTAAATCCGAATTTCATCATTAGATTATTACCATATTCGTATAGGACCACCGCGCGAGTAGGTACACCAAATAAAAAAATATTCATATCGGCCTAAAGATCTTAAGAAGTTATCGGTGTACATAATCGTTGGCTCACTATTACAAGGTTCTATGTTACAATTTTAGTACTTATTTAGTTATTAATGCTACAAGGTTCTATGTGTCATTAGCTACAGTTTTGCAAAAACAAACTACTAGATAGCGGCACTTTAACTACAAAATATTCAATTTTACATAGTTCTATGTTGTTTTTTTTTACGATAACAAAATAACGAAGTTCTATGTAAAAATTACTAAACTTCATTAAAATTAACATAGAACCTTGTAATAGTAAGCCAACGAATTATGTAAAAAAAATACCTGCTAAACATGTAACTTCCTCTGCCTTTTAGAACTCGGTTAATAAATTATAGAAAAAGAGAGGGATCTAAATAACTTTAGTAGAGTCTTAATAAAAAAGAAATATTGCTGACAGTGCTAAATTAATAACATTGTCACTCACAGGCGTTTCAGTACTGTTCATAACTTTGTATGTCAATTACTAATCCTGCCTCGTTGGTGTAGTGGCTAATTTGTACAGCTGCGGCACACAAGGTTCTAGGTTCGACACTTGAGTTAGATCCAAAATGTTCAAAAATCTAACAAGAAATTTTACGCAAGTCCGTTGTAAGAAAACTGTTGGTGTTACCATAAGAGGAAATATGAGAGATAAAGCAACATCGCTCAACTACAGGTATATTACTATTTGAAGTGTTGGTGAGTGCGTTTTCCTTTGAACGTGACGCGCTCGTACCAATATTGTCAACAGCACGAGCTAGAAAAAAGCAGTTTTGTCAACGGGCAGTACCATACGTGAACTGAACAGTAATAAGTATATCACAAACACACAGTCGCCTTATCTAGTAGTGTACCTACGGTTGCTCGTATGAAGCTTTGTCTTTATATCCATACTTCGTCATAGGGTATTACACCATCACGCCTCAGGGAGTCGCTAGCTCTGTCGAGAAAATAAACTACTAAGATGTGCCTTTGTATTTGAACACTATATAAACCAACAGTGGAGTAGTTTTAGGGAAATTACTCAAAACTGACATCGTTCGGATATTGCTTATGAATTAATGTGAATAATCTGTATGTGTATAGTTTTAATTGTCTTCGGTACAATTAAAGGAAATTTTGGGATATATTTTATAATATTATATCTGTAAAAGTAAAGCCTTTTTGTGAGTCTGTCCTTCTATCACGCGCTAACATATGTGTTTTCTTAATAAACACTATAGGTTTTTTGAGAAAAAATATAATTGTTGATTTGATACTAATAATTTTTTATGTTCATTTTGTAAGGTAAGAACCAAAGTTTAAAAGTTAATAAAGACAGACTCATTAGCTTTCATACTTTACGTTTTATTGAAGTGTTTCCTTATGTGTCCGAAATAACCCCACCCTCCCCTACACCCGAGAGTACCATAGGGTATAAAGTGTGATATCTACTATGTTGTAGTTTGCAGTAGCTAGAGACTATCAAAATTCTCAAAATATATACTTATTGCATAACATCTACTAAAGTAACAATTCTGTCTCCATAAACATTTAAGTATTCACGAAACAGCCATAGTTATAACACTGTACTTGAACGTGAGTCGACTACAATCGTTTCATGAATATTAGATAAATAAATTTTTAAAACGAGCAAATACCTAAGTTTTATTAACAGCATTATCTTACGCTTTATTCTTTACAGTTAATAAAAGAAGAAGAAAAAATTTATTCATACTAAGAATATTCAAAAATATTACCTATTCATACTAAGAACATACGTACTTCTTTTAAATAAATATATAAATAAATTATATATAATCTGCGTGTACTTAACTATAGCTGCATAAATAACTGAATATTTAATTTATAACCAATAAACTGTATAGGTAAAAGCGCTCGCTTGGAAAACGTTCCTTATATAAATAGTTTTAGGTGAAGGAAATCATTGGGAGTATGTATATATATATATCTTACCCCTGATACTCTATATTCATCTCATTCTCTCGTAGGTTACTTTTCTGAAGTTTCACTTCTACCATGTGTAAATAGCACACACACGCACTTTTTTTGCTTAGACTTAAATATAAATTAGATCAAACTTATTGTTAGTTACAACTTTAATTCACAGCATATGACAGATTACTACAGGACCCCTAAATTTCATGTACCTAATTAGATTTAGTGGTTTCAGTCAGCTTATGGATAATAAATGATTTATACTGGACGCGTATTTAAGTTTGATTTATAGAAGTAAATATATTTAAAGAATATTTTAAACAAACTTACAGGTTTAGTATTTAAGCATTAAATTTTCAGGTAAAACTATAATACACTTGAAATTATAAGACAATGTTACGTATTTTATACGAGTTACTTATCGTGAAGTCACGTTGATCTATAGGGTCAGGTTAGAGGAAGGGTGTAATTAAGGGTGATAATAACAGGCAAGTAGAACTAGTGAGCGAATGCCGTCGCGTCGGTATTCCGATATTGCGCGATCCCAATCGCTCAAGTGATACGAAATATTCGGCATAGCTCTCGACTCATTGCCTCCGCGTATTTTCCTTGCCAATTCATTAATACGTTAATTATTCTTTGGTGGGTGGATATAATTAAACCTGTTTTATATTTGAAATTGTAATATAATAGGTTTTAAATGATAATGATCGGGCGAAATACGAGTATATTCATTATTTTGTGATAGCCATCTCAATGGTATACTATCACGTCCGATCATGAATGATCAAGCATAAATTAATAATATTTCTGCATTAAATATAATTAAGTATTCAATTTGTAGACTCTGTTCAATGTAAATTCGAGTAGCTTTTTATGTTGACGTCAAAGGGAAGTTTTAAATTTAAAAATTAAATGTAATTATTGAAGCTTATAAAAATACGATTAAACACAGTGACCTAAATTATAATTACTATATAAGCAGTATGCCGACAAAATCTCTGTATATAGTCATTGACTTTTAGTTAAGAGCTAGTGTTGCTTTATGTAGAAATTTGTAAGCTTGAAATACAATTAATAGAGTTGATTAAATGATTTCCAATAAACCTACCTACAGTTAAACTACTAGTAAATATATATACTTACAAATGTTTTAGAAAATCGTTTTTTTTACGTATAAATATGTTTTTTAAACTTTGTTTTCTGAAAAATATGTCCTTTCAATAACAATACACAAAATATAAAAAATGTATTTCTTTCCATCTTACTGAAATATACATATGTAACAAATATTTAAAACTAGCATTGCCCGCGGCTCCGCTCGCGTTCAGATGGCCAAAAACCAAATTCTTAGGTTTTATATATTAGTATACTCTTACATTGCAGTTTTTGTATTTTTTCTCAGAAATGAGATATTTTCCCGCGGTAAAAAGTCCTATATGTTGACCCGGATAACCAGCTATCACCATACCAAATTTCATCAAAATCCATCCAGTAGTTTTTCTGTGATGCGGTAATAGATAGACAGACAGACAGACAAAAATTCTAAACACTATAGATTCGGCCTCTGTATCGATAATAATGTTTATTTCAATAAGATTTTCCAAAAAATATTTAATGTACAGATTCGGCACAGCTACAATTTTATTATATATATAGATAACACTTTCCAGTTTCCATAAAAGACTGTATATTATGATTCCAAAGTTTCCATTTAAATGACAGTCTTAGGACGTATCTCGAGGCGGAACGTTGCGTCATGTTAAATTAATTATTCAACTCGTTAATTGCGGCACGAGCGAAATATATAGAAACAAACGATAATGTTTATCTGGAACATTTCTAAAGCCCGTATTATTTAGTAGTCATGTTGTGCTAAGCTAATCTCTCTGAATAACAATGTAAAGAAACATTATGGATAATTGCATAACGAATTTAGACGTTTATGATGTAAATTATATATTAAAATGATAGAAACTTGTCTTGAAGAAAGTCGTTGTTATCTTATATTTAAGTACTTATTAAAATTAGTTGGTAAAATAAAAAACGACAAATAATTTTTATGTAGGACACCTAAGTGCGTCCTTTCATTTAAATATTATTATTTTTTCATAGATCTTGTTAAATAAATGAGATAACATTTACTCATTAGCAGTATTTCAAGTACGCCACTTGGTAGTATGGCATGAAATTGTGTTCATTCAGTAAATAGCTTGAAAACTTATGCCGTGTGGAAGGGAATAAAAACACCTTGAAGTATATATTTATATTGTAGGAGGTTAGATAGAACGGTTCGCGACAAAGTGCGAATAGCGACTACTCGTGCCTCTATATAACATTACTAATTAAAACATTAAGATCTATACCAAATAGGGAAGGTGCCGATATGATGCAATATAATATTATTATTATACTATAAATACATAGTAGGCACAATACTTCCCCTCTTTAAAAAAATGATAAAAACACTATATAATTACAAAAAATATTACCAACTACTATGCTTTAATAAAAAGTTAATTTTATATAATGAAAATAAATTTTATATAATGAAAAGGTGTATAAAATTTGTATATAATATTACTAATAATTTGTATATAATATTAATTACATTTACATACGATTTGCACTGTTAACTAAGAAAATCACGCACATTTTATATTTCTTTCACTTCCACTGCACTTGCCTTTCGGGAAACACCAACTACATGCGTAATAGCCTTTATCAGGCCACGGAGTACGCAGGTACTGCGTGCTGGGGATCGCGCGATCGACGACTCGCACGTAAAGCAGACATCTCTTGTCTCAGGAACTTGGTAAATCGGTTATTACAGAATTTCCAAGTTAGGTAGCAAAGCACAATGAAGATGGCAACTGACACGACGGCTAGTAATGTGTCCAGCTTGTCATGCGTCTTCTCATGCAGCATGCTGGTGCTCGCTTGATTTGCAGCACCATTTTGGGCAATTATAACTTCCTCTTTGCTCTGAGGTTTTCCCATTTCGAAATTAAAATAGGTTATGAATTAGTATAATAAATGGAAATAAATGGTTGAGAGTGTTCACTTCTCGACGAATTATTAATAAGTAATGCAATTATTGACTATGTTATTCGGGCGTAAAATGCACTGTCGGCTTTATAATTCGCCCGGATCGAGTTCGATATGACATGCTGTTATGATTTACATGACCATCTAAGTCGTTGCTATGTGCTTCGTGATTTGTTGTGCATTCCTTGTACTTATTTGGCGGAGCGTATTGTATTTCTGAGTCATTGGGGATTGAAAATGCAGGCTTTAATCTATCTATTGAAATTGTTTTTATATTATCTGAAATCATTACTCTAAAATGCTTATCCCCTCGTTCTATGATTTTATACGGTCCTGTATATGGAGGTGTTAAAGGCTTTGTAATATGGTCACACCGAATGAATACGTGTGTACATGATTCTAAAGCTGGATGTACAAATATTTTATCTTGCTTGTATTGTCTCCTTGGTACGGCGGCTAACTTTCGTATTCGCTCTCTTAAATTGTGTAGAAACATTTCACTTTCGGGAGAAATTTGCTTTGACGGCTCAAAAAAGTCTCCTGGAAGCTTTATAGGTGTACCATAAACTAATTCAGCTGCAGATATTCCGGTGTCATCCCGAAGGCTAGCTCTCAAACCTAATAAAACTGTAGGTAATTCGTTTACCCAATTTTCGGTATTCCCACGTGCCATTAATGCCGATTTAAGACTTCTATGTAGTCGCTCGATCTTACCATTAGCTTGCGGATGAAAACTACATGTATGAATTTTATATATGCCTAAAAGTCTTGCAAGATTTGTGAACAGATGCGACTCGAACTGGCGGCCTTGGTCGGTAGTGATTTTTGAGGGACATCCGAATCTTGTGATCCAATGGGTGTATAGGGCCCTTGAAACACTTTCAGCAGTGATGTCTTTTAATGGTTTAATTTCCGGCCATCCTGTCGCTCTATCTATAATGGTCAGCATATATCTGTAGCCTTGACAGTATTGTAGTGGTCCTACAATATCTATGTGCAGATGTTCGAAACGATTACTATTTGGAAATGAGCTGAGCGGAGATTTCGTATGGCGTTGAATTTTAGATTTTTGGCAATCTATGCATGCCTTAGTCCATTTGTTGATATCTGTATTCATGGATTTCCAAAAATATCTCTCTGTAATCATTTTTCTCGTAGCACGTGTTCCGCTGTGACTTATACCGTGAATTGCTTCGAAAGCTGTAACACGATACTCTTTCGGTAGGTACGGACGAGCGTTTTGTTTAGATATCTCACAATAAATCGGCTCCTTGCAATATGGGTAATTAAATGTTTTAAAATTTAAATTTTTTGCTTTTAATAATTCTTTTAATTCTCGGTCATTTTGTTGTGCTTTAGATATTTCGGCGTAATCAAGTGGTGATGGCATGTCTATCTGTTCAATTCTCGATAGTGTATCTGCAACTACATTTTGAGATCCTTGAATGTACTCGATCGATGTACAGAATTGACTTATAAAATCTAGGTGACGGAGTCGCCGGGGTGTATCACTACTGCTCGTAGCTTTTTTGTGTAGGGCATAGACGAGCGGTTTGTGATCCGTATAGACGATAACTTCTTGGCCTTCAATCATGTGTCGGAAATGTTTTACTGCCATATATATAGATAATAATTCCCTGTCGTAGGCACTGTAACGCTGCTGTGCCTCGCTAAATATGCATGAAAAAAAATTTTGCGGTTTCCATTCTTGACTGATTTTCTGTTGCAGGACTGCGCCTGCGCAGGTACTACTTGCGTCAGTCATGATACCCAGGGGTGCACCGACAACGGGATGCGATAACATAACAGCTTCTTTTAGGCTTTTTTTGCACTGCTCGAAAGCATTTTCAGCCTCATTATCCCATACGATTTTTGTCTTGTCATTGCGTTTTGTGTTATGTAAATAGGCATTTAAAATAGACTGGTATGAAGCTGCATTCGGTAAATGACTTCGGTAAAAATTAATCATACCTAAAAATCGACGTAATTGTGCCACAGTTTCCGGTTTAGGATATTCTGATATGACCTTCACTCGATTGTTTAAAGGTTTTATGCCTTCTGCTGATACATGATATCCTAGAAATTCTATCTCTGATTTTCCCAGGTCACATTTAGCCAAATTGATGGTTACACCATATTTATTTAGGCGCTGGAATACTGTTTACAAGTGCATCCTGTGTTCGGATTCTGAGTTCGAAAATATGACAGTGTCATCGACAAAATTGAATAAAAAATCCAGATCTTGAAAAACTACATGGTTCATGAATCGTTGGAACGTCTGTGCAGCGTTCCTCAAGCCGAAAGTCATACGAGGAAACTCAAAAAGGCCAAAAGGTGTTATTATGGCAGTCTTTTCGATGTCCTCCGGAGCAGTTTGTATAAAATGATAAGCACGGTGTAGATCGATTCGGGAAAATATCTTCTTTCCAGCGAGCAGGTAAGTGAAATCGTGAATCCTTGGAATGGGATATCTATCTGGTTTAGTTATGGCGTTTAAGCTGTGGTAATCGCCACACGGTCGTATTTCACCATTCTTCTTTTCCACCACGTGAAGAGGACTGGACCAACAGCTCTTTGATGGTCTACATATACCGATTTGCTGCATATATTCAAATTCCTTTTTGACTTTTAGATACTTGGCGGGAGGAAGCGGTCGCGCACGAGCAAATACAGGTGAGCCAGTAGTCTCAATATGGTGCATAACATTATGTTTCGGAGCTTCTTTGTAACAAACAGGTTTTGTGATATCGGGATAGGCTGATAATAAATCGTAATATGGGCTCGTGACATCGATTGTTTTGATTGCGTCATCATTGCACTGAACTATAGACCCAATAACGTTTAGACTCGTCACTGAATCGATTAGTTTCCGTCCATTTACGTCCACTAAAAGCTTATAGTTGCTTAAAAAGTCGGCACCAAGGATAGGCTGCTTCACGTCGGCTACTATGAAATTCCAAGTAAAAGATCGTCGTAGTTTTAAGTTAAGCTCTAAGTTTTTAGTTCCATAAGTTCGTATAACACTTCCGTTCGCAGCGTACAAATTATAATTATCACACACCCGATTAGTATATGGTCTCTTAGTAACAGGTATAACAGATACATTGGCTCCAGTGTCCACCAAAAAACGTAAACCACTGTTTAAGTCGGTCACGCACAGGCGGTGGGAAGGCGAGATGGTGCAGACATCCGCCGCTGGCTGCACCGAATTTAGTTTTCCTGATTTTGCTTCTTCCATACACACGGCTCTAAACATTTGTTAGCTCTATGGCGAAAACGCGCATGATAAAAACATAGCTCGTCGGAACTTGCATTGCGCCGGATCATATTACGGGCACGCGACTGGGAGCGATAACGACTGTAATAGTTATGATTTCGGTTCCTTTGTCTCGATCTTTGTGAATTTTTCAGTTCCATTACTTGTAAAGTTAGTTGTGCGATTTGGGCTTGTAATGTGGGAATTTCGTTCGCCACAGATGGTTTGCTGGTACTTGTAACTTCCGCTACATGAAGAGGTCGAGTTGTCTCCAGTATCTTGTCCGCGATAGCTGCTAAATTTTCAAGGTCCTTAACATCCGTAACAGCGAGGACGGCGCGCACGGAGGATGGTAGATGTCCTTGCCACATAATGCTTAGAGTTTCATCAGGGATTTTTCCTCGCGCTAAATCTCGCATGTGTCTCAGTAATTGAGAAGGCTTTTGGTCACCGAGTTCTATTTCGCTCAAAAGCTTCTGTAGTTGACGATTTTCCGATTCTTCATATACCGCGAGTAGTCTTGCCTTTAATGCTTCATATTTTTTTGCTTCAGGTGGCTGCAGTAAGATGTCACTCACTTGCTGTATTACGTCTTTACCCAATTTAGCCACAACGAGATTAAATTTAGCTTCGTTCGATAACTTTTGGGGTGTTAATATGGCCTCAACTTGAACGAACCACAAGCGAGCTTGATCGCACCAGAACTCGGGGATCCGTGACGAAACTGTCACGGTCGCTAGCTCGGAAGAACCACTGGTGGAGGGAACCTTTCCTTCAGTCGTCATGTTGGTTGATGTCTTCGCAGGCAGTCAAGATTTACGTATCACATCAATCACGTCGGGGTCACCAATATGCCACTTGGTAGTATGGCATGAAATTGTATTCATTCAGTAAATAGCTTGAAAACTTATGCCGTGTGGAAGGGAATAAAAACACCTTGAAGTATATATTTATATTGTAGGAGATTAGATACAACGGTTCGCGACAAAGTGCGAATAGCGACTACTCGTGCCTCTATATACATTACTAATTAAAACATTAAGATCTATACCAAATAGGGAAGGTGCCGATATGATGCAATATAATATTATTATTATACTATAAATACATAGTAGGCACACAAGTAAATTCAAAATAGAAAACAAAAAAAAATTTTTTTTAAATTGTTAGCAATATTTCTAATTAGTCATATGAATAGTAAAAACCTCACTTTTTCAATAAAAATTCGTCAAGTGTGAACTGTATTTATGCATCAAGTGTATTCCATACCACCACACAACATATTTACTAAAAAGAGGACTTTATATTAAATAGCGGTTGAAACCCTTAGGGTGTGTACGACCCTGTTTTACTTCAGGGCTTGTACCTAGTACCAATACAAAATAATAACCACACTATGTTGTTTGTAGTTTTGTTTTTACGATGGAGCTAAAAAAACCTTAATCTTCTTTATAGGAACTGTTTCTTATTTATATAGGTCTCGAAATTTTAAATAAAATATCTGTAACAACTACACCTTCGAGACATGTAACATCTCAGTCTCTACCGTGACCATGAATGCTGTAAAGCATTCGAAACGTCGGGAACCAAAAATCTAAATAAATCCGCGAAAAAATCCGAAAAGATAGTTTTATATAAAATGTCAAATATTCGCGTAAATCTAAGAAAGTGTTCGGTGTCAAAAATCAATAAATTC